AAATAGGGGAAAAACATTTTTTTCTGTATATATTTATATTTTTTGAATCCTATATACTGTTCAGTTCAATCCTTGCTGTGACATTCTTGCATTATATCTCCTAGTTATAATTCTTGGCTCAGCCACTTAGTGGATCGTGATAGTTTGACAACTCCAAGTTTGTTATCACTATTAGTATTACCTCAAAAGCCTTCACCAGCCCTTTGTAGGACTCTCTGAAGTTCCTCGGCCATTCCTTGCAAGAGAACAGGTTTTCTTATGAGACCATTGACCCCAACCTGTAGGCATCGGTCCCGAACTTGTTCCTCTGAAGTAGCAGATAAGGCTATGATCAACGGCCAACCATGGCTGTGGAACTTGCGTACCCTCATAGCCACTTCAAATCCATCCATTTCCGGCATGTGAAGATCTAAAATGACAACTTGGATAGAAGTTGTTGAATGGCCCATTGCACTTAGGCACTGAAAACCAGTTGACACAGCAATTACTTGGCAACCTAGTTTTTCGAGCAGCTTTTTGGTTACCATTCTATTTACGTCGTCGTAATCAGCAAGTAGAACTTGGAGGCCTTTGAACATTGCGCTGGAAACCACTCGCTCCAAAGGATTTCCAAGATCAAACATTTGTTTTCTAAATGATGACTGTTTTAGAAATCTGAGAATAAGAGTCATCCCTTGAGCATGGCCCTCAGAATTTGAGGACATATATACGTTTCCCTGCATCATCTGCAAGTTTTATGTGCACAAAAACTGCAGGTCAGAATAAGAAAATAGAAAATGTAGCCAATTGAAAGCAAAAGAACAAAGAATTATCGTGTTCGGATTCGTTACCATTAGCAGCATCAAGTAAATTCATCCTAGTAGTAGCCAGCAGTTACTGATGTCTTTAAAGAAAACAAGTGCAAGAATTTGTCATTGTCAAACATCTTGGATGGACCTCTTGTCTTTTTTATTTTATTTTTTTATAACCTAGAAATCCCTTCGAGAGCCAGTGGCGCACGGTCCGAAACTTAGTAGTTATGAGCCTGCCCCTCTATTCTTCTCAACTTAAATACCAGGTTTTTGTTTGCGCCAGGGTTGGAACCTATGACGTGCGCCTAACCCACACATCACAGGCCACATTCTTACCACTGGATCTCTCGTCTTTCATTCATGTACTTCTACTAATAAGAGTTTCCTCAGATATTCAGTCAATTTTAGGAGGTTCTACCAGTAAACTGACCCCCCC